CGCCGGCTCCGGCTTCTTTTGCCTTTTGAGGCTGCCAGGGCCCGTGAAAATCGGCCGCTTCATGACGCCAGTGGGAGAGACCTATCTATCTGTTAGTGTACTGAGCAGTGCTGCACTTCTCGAACTAGCGTGACATCGTCATTCAATCGTCATACCACCGAGTCGCTGCGTTCCACAAGTGCCGTTTTGCTAACAAACGTCTGAACTGGTCACTGGTACACCTGAAGCCGCAAAGCCTGTTGCACATGCAGACTGGCAGTTGGAAGCGTTGCAGCTGTGCACGCTGGCAAAACATGCCGCCAACAAGGATGCCTGAAAGCTGCCTCCCCTTTTAAGGCCCCGAAGAAATCTCGGGGCCGCCTTCTTTCAGTAATTTTACGGCAACCTTATATAGTATCCCTGATGGTAACTTTATGGCACCCTTATATAGTATCCCTTTATAGTAACTTTATGGTAACCTTATGGTAACCCTTTAAAGGAGCCATAAGGTTCTCACCCTGTAAGGGGGCCTCCGGAGCGACTTTGGAACGGCTGACTCGGCGCCTCGGCGCCTCTCTGAGCCCAGCTGAGGAACCTTATGGTTCCTTTAAAGGGTTACCGTAAGGTTACCATAAAATTACTATAAAGGGATACTATAAAGTTACTATAAAAAGTACCATAAAGTTACTATAAAAAGTACCATAAAGTTACAAAAAGATGGTTCCTTTAAAGGGCTACCACATAAGGTTCCCCTACAGGTGCTGTAAGGTTACCATAAGGGATACTGAAAAAGGGTCCTATAAGGGTGCCATAAGGGGTACTATGAGGATACTCTAATAGGGGTTCCTTTAAAAGGTTACCGCAAGGGATACCGTAAAGTTACTATAAAAAGATACTATATAAGTGTACCATAAAGTTACGAAAAGGTTACCATAAAGTCACCATAAAAAGATTAAGGGTTCTTCAGAACCCTAAACCCTAAACCCTAAACCCTGTAAAAGGGATCTTCCGAGGCTCGAGGCCTGGAGCCGAGAACCGAAGAGAGATTCCCCAAAAAAGGGGAGGGGGGTAGGGGCCTTTCAAGGGATCCGACTAAGGGCTCCTTTAAGGGATCCTATAAGGGATCCGTAGAGGGTTGAAGGTTTTCAGGGTTTCCGAAAATTCGGTGGGTTTTCCTGATTTTGGGGGGGGTTCTTATAATAAGGTCCCCTATCTGTCGGAAACAAATTAGGGGGGGTAGAAGAAGGATTCCATTCTCGTCTTTGGGATACTTTTCTTAGGGCTTTTCTTGAGGAAAGCTTTGGAAGGGATTCTGGGCCCGAGCTTTAAGGTTTGGAGTCCCACAAGAACCGAAACCATCATTGTAACTTGGCAGACCGTGACCCACGAGACTCGAGACATGACGACTTCCCAATGGCCAAACAGGTGACGAGTTTGACCTCAGGCAGATCCCATGCGAAAGGTGGAGAGCTCGATTGGAGTCGGATACCAAGCTTCCAACCCGTCGAGACTGAGACCTGGGCCGTGTGCATACAAGCCGGGAAAACCAGCTTATGGGAGGGAATGTGGACAAAACCCGAATGCAAGACGCAGTTCTCACTTGTTAAGCAGGCAGTCGACAAATTCCAATGATCCGCGCTGTAGTCTTCACAGTCCAAGTCGCCACTAGGGTCGACGAAGCCGATGGTGGAGGGATGCCACCGCGCAGAGCAGGCGTCATGATATGGTAAAACTCGATCCGGGAAGGCTGCGAGCTGCCCAAGCAGATGCACAGCCCGGTGCTCCCATTGTTTTATAGATGTTCCAAAAGTGCTAGTGTGCTTGTGTGCAGATTTGTATTATCCTCATTCCAGCCTTCATTTTATGATTATGTTGTTGAAATCTCACTGACAATATACGACTGCTCATTAATATTCAGCTTCAGTTAAAACTGCGGACATACCAAACAAGGCTCAGCTGAAGGAGGAGCTGACCTGGATGAAGACTAGATCTCGTTTTTGGACTCGCAATCGCTCCCTCTTCTGGAGGCTAGTATCCCATTCCTCCATTCCCTACTAACCAAAGGCAAGTTATAGGATTATTAAGGCCCCTATATTATAGTACTCTTACAGATCCCTTATAGTAACTTGGAGAAAATTCAACAGTGGCTCCCTCGGCGATTATTAGGGGACTATCCCGAGGCAGAAACGCGACCTTCCTAATACGTTCCCGCTTGTTAGGTCACAATCTCTTGATGCACCTCATGTTTACCCCTCCCACACCAAAGCTCTTCAGCAACACAACTGGTTTGTGAGGTGCAAAAGTGCGTCACAAAGAAGGCCGCAGCGATTTTCCATCGCGGCCCGAGCCTATATGCTGGCTGCGTCAAATGACCTCCGCAGCATTTCGAACACAGGAGCCTCCGCGGAAGTCGTGAAGCAAGTTAAACCTTCTGTCAAACAACTCAGCCTCTACATGAGTCTTCTGCATGGCAGAAAGGCAGATCAAAACGGACACGAAGCGACCACCATGCCCCCCAACTAAAAGACCTAAAAACAGCATGACCAGCCGCAAATGGAGAGTCTGGCTCACTTGAGTGGCCAAGGACATCAAGATTAACATGAAGCGACCAGTGCGCCACGGCCACGAGACCGTGCGCGAGATAAGCAATCTGGTCCGCAGAGTGGCCCGGGACATCAAAACGAACATGTAGCGACCACCTCGTCACGAGAAGCAGCACAACATGTGGCGATGAACAGACTGGTCCACAGAGTAGCCCAGGACATCAACAAGGAACATGAAGCGACAGTCGACGGTCATGCTTCGAAATAAGTTGACCATGATGACCGAGGTGACTGTAATTGACCTATGCAAAAAATGCCCAAGTACACAGGAAACACACATGTTCACCGAAATGCAGCCCGCGCCTTACGTTGATCTTATCATCACAAATCTTCTTGCAGACGACCAGCTTGATCTGCGCCTGCATACCGATCACGTGCGGTGGTAAATTCGTGTTCCCGGTATTTTGTTGCTGGATCTTGTAATGAGACACTCACCAAAGAGTTTCCCACGAAGGCTTCTCGATCCAGCCTCAGAGCCAACTTCCGGGTCCATGGCCAAGTAATGGCCCCTGACCTTCGACAGCCGCATCGTGAGCTTAGCAAGACTAATACCAGTGGAAGGTCGAGAGGAATGCTGGGGCCCTGGCACCGTGGCTAGAAACGTCTGCAGGGTTGAAGCCAAACCTTGCTGTGCAACAAAAGACACGTGCAAGTTGCTTCACAAGATGTTCTCTCAAGACACCGCTGACCCAGCCGTGAACTAAGTCTGTCAAGTGAGTGAAGTGCCTTCCAAATACAAATCTGCATCTCTTTGTCCTCATGGTTTAACTGCGGCATTAAATGAGCCAACGATGCATCACATCGACAAGCGGCTTTGCGACAGTCTGGACCTCTGCTGCTGTGCACCTGCATGGCGACTATGATCAAAGTCAAGCAGCACAGACCAATCTTGTGAAGCGACAGCCGCAGTGACTTTTAAGTACATCACAGGTCTCGCCTTCAGCAGGACCGGGAGCGTGGCCGGTTTTCCAAGGTGCTGCTCCAAGCAAACACACAACTCATGAACCCTATTGCAGGCCTATGCGCATGCTAGAAGCCGCTATAGAAACCTTGAATTTGAAGACTTTGACTGTGCGACACCTTCACACTCGAATGCCATCGTTCAGCACTACACCGTTCATGCACGCAGGTCGTGCAGACATGTGTAGCGGGTCTCGCAGCTGACAGGTTGAGTGGCCCAGGACATGAACATTAACATGAAGCGGCTACCGTACCTCGGCCACGAGAAGCAGCACAACATGTGGAAAGAACAGTCTGGTCCACAGAGTGGACCCGAACATCAAAACCAACACGAAGCGACCACCATGCCCCACAAAACAACATGATCAGGCGAAGATGGAGAATCTGCTCCATCAGAACGAACATGTAGCGACCACTTGAACACGAGAACCAGCTTCAAGCTTCCGTTTCGGCGAAGCACTGGACTGGTCAGATGCAAAACTCGTCGGCTCATACTGAAAGATGCAAAGGACAACGATCAGAATTATCAGAATGCCCACAACACCCGTCAACTCTTCACAGCAAAATGCCGAGTTCACGAAGAGCCCACTCACGAATGCATAAATTTGGAGAAGTAGAAATAATAGTGGAAGTGGTAGTAGTAGCATTATATAGTAGTATATAGTAGTATACAGTAGTAGTGGAGTAGTAGTAGTAGTAGTAGTAGTAGTAGTAGTAGTAGTAGTAGTAGTAGTAGCAGCAGCAGCAGCAGCAGCAGTAGCAGTAGCAGTAGCAGTAGCAGTAGCAGTGGCAGTAGCAGTAGCAGTAGCAGTAGCAGTAGCAGTAGCAGTGGCAGCAGCAGAAGTAGTAGCAGTGGCAGCAGTAGTAGTAGTACAGTAGTAGTAGTCGTCGTCAAACTCTGCGTGCGCGCAGGGACAATGTGGAAGCAGTTCCATGCGTGTACGATGACTCACCAAGACGCCTGCAAGCAACTAAGTACGTTCCCCAACCCCGTGCACGCACTCACACACATGTTGAAAGTAGCTCCATGCATGTCAGATGACAAACCTTCGAGGAGCACAAACATGCTGACACTGCGGGGCCTTGATGACCAATGGTGGCAGCTTGTCCCTCCAGACCTATTTGGCCACGAGGCGTGGAAGAAACAACTTCGTGCTCTGCGTGTGTGCGCGTTCTGTGGCCTCTTCTGTCAAAGCACAAGCAGCACACAGGGGCATCGCAACAGGCCGCCACTGGCACCTACAGGTAGACTTGGAAAATGATGCCCTTCAGCTGCAGCCATGAGATCCAACAGCGGCGTTGCCTCAAAGTGATGTGGAGGTCGATGGCCTGTGCCGCGCCGCTGCTTCAAGACACCCGCCCGACTAGTTATGGCCGGTCGTCACAGGTTCCTGCACAGCAAGTTCAACAGCAATGAAGCGAAATCTTTCCGAAAGCATCAAACACGCCGCAGACATCTCACTCAGGCTTCTTGAATATCATCGGCGGTTTGGAGACGTTACCGTCCCAGAACGCCGTGCAGCATCCGAGTGGTCTGAAGCCACTGTACACAAGCATGTAGACGTCATTTTGGACGTCCTCTGCATCAAAGCCTCTCTTTCTCAGCTCTTCCTTCTGGGCCTTGCTCAGCATGCAGTGTTGGCGAATCTTTTGCAGCGGCGGCAGCAGCTTTCGCCTTGCTTTGTCAACCTCTGGGTCGTACTTGAAGGCTGCACACGCATCTCTCGGCTCATTACCTTCAACTTCATAGTGCCGTCCAAAGAAGGCAGGTGTCCTAAGTCTTACCAACACATCGCCGTTGTCACGCGCGATGTGCTGCAAGTCGTACTCAGGATTGCGTGCGTGTGTATACCGTCCCAAAAAAGCCTGGACAGCGTTCCTCGGAGCCATGCTCTCCCAGGCAGAATCCTTGATGCCAATTTCATCTCGCATGGTCTTTGCCAGTGCTGCGAGCTTCCCAGTCTTGATTCCTTCTATGACATTCTCCAAAGAGTCCTCTATCGGCCGGGGCACCGGAGGTTCTGCACGTGCTTGCTGCACCGCCTTGCAGTTGACCTCGGAATTGTCATTATTCTCCTGAAACCAGGGTCGCGGAGACTGTTCGAAACCCAGCGTCGCGTCGTGGGAGGGCGGGGCCCTCGTAGATTGCGAAGCCCCGTCCGCAGGCTCCGGCTTCTTCTGCCTTTTGAGGCTTCCAGGGCCCGTGAAAATCGGCCGCTTCATGACACCAGTAGGAAACACCGCAGCTATCTCACGACCTGCATGCAAAACTGTTTTGCCAGTTTAGCTGCGCTGCACAAATCTGGGACTAGCGTGACCCCCGATTCGTTGCTGTGTTACCTAAACAACGTCTGAGCTGGCACACTGGTACCTCAAGCCGCAAAGATCTGATGCACAAGCTTCCGTTTCGGCGAAGCATAGGACTGGCCAGACGCAAAACTCGTCGGTTCATACTGAAAGATGCAAAGGACAACGATCAGAATTATCAGAATGCCCACAACACCTGTCAACTCTTCACTGCAAAATGCCGAGTTCACGAAGAGCCCACTCACGAATGCATGCATGTGGAGCAGTAGAAATAACAGTGGAAGTGGTAGTAGTAGCATTATATAGTAGTATATAGTAGTATACAGTAGTAGTGGAGTAGTAGTAGTAGTAGTAGTAGCAGCAGCAGCAGCAGTAGCAGTAGCAGTAGCAGTAGCAGTAGCAGTAGCAGTAGCAGTAGCAGTAGCAGTAGCAGTGGCAGCAGCAGAAGTAGTAGCAGTGGCAGCAGCAGAAGTAGTAGTAGTAGTAGTAGTAGTAGCAGTAGTACAGTAGTAGTAGTCGTCGTCAAACTCTGCGTGCGCGCAGGGACAATGTGGAAGCAGTTCCATGCGTGTACGATGACTCACCAAGACGCCTGCAAGCAACTAAGTACGTTCCCCAACCCCGTGCACGCACTCACACACATGTTGAAAGTAGCTCCATGCATGTCAGATGACAAACCTTCGAGGAGCACAAACATGCTGACACTGCGGGGCCTTGATGACCAATGGTGGCAGCTTGTCCCTCCAGACCTATTTGGCCACGAGGCGTGGAAGAAACAACTTCGTGCTCTGCGTGTGTGCGCGTTCTGTGGCCTCTTCTGTCAAAGTACAAGCAGCACACAGGGGCATCGCAACAGGCCGCCACTGGCACCTACAGGTAGACTTGGAAAATGATGCCCTTCAGCTGCAGCCATGAGATCCAACAGCGGCGTCGCCTCAAAGTGATGTGGAGGTCGATGGCCTGCGCCGCGCCGCAGCTTCAAGACACCCGCCCGACTAGTTATGGCCGGTCGTCACAGGTTCCTGCACAGCAAGTTCAACAGCAATGAAGCGAAATCTTTCCGAAAGCATCAAACACGCCGCAGACATCTCACTCAGGCTTCTTGAATATCATCGGCGGTTTGGAGACGTTACCGTCCCAGAACGCCGTGCAGCATCCGAGTGGTCTGAAGCCACTGTACACAAGCATGTAGACGTCATTTTGGACGTCCTCTGCATCAAAGCCTCTCTTTCTCAGCTCTTCCTTCTGGGCCTTGCTCAGCATGCAGTGTTGGCGAATCTTTTGCAGCGGCGGCAGCAGCTTTCGCCTTGCTTTGTCAACCTCTGGGTCGTACTTGAAGGCTGCACACGCATCTCTCGGCTCATTACCTTCAACTTCATAGTGCCGTCCAAAGAAGGCAGGTGTCCTAAGTCTTACCAACACATCGCCGTTGTCACGCGCGATGTGCTGCAAGTCGTACTCAGGATTGCGTGCGTGTGTATACCGTCCCAAAAAAGCCTGGACAGCGTTCCTCGGAGCCATGCTCTCCCAGGCAGAATCCTTGATGCCAATTTCATCTCGCATGGTCTTTGCCAGTGCTGCGAGCTTCCCAGTCTTGATTCCTTCTATGACATTCTCCAAAGAGTCCTCTATCGGCCGGGGCACCGGAGGTTCTGCACGTGCTTGCTGCACCGCCTTGCAGTTGACCTCGGAATTGTCATTATTCTCCTGAAACCAGGGTCGCGGAGACTGTTCGAAACCCAGCGTCGCGTCGTGGGAGGGCGGGGCCCTCGTAGATTGCGAAGCCCCGTCCGCAGGCTCCGGCTTCTTCTGCCTTTTGAGGCTTCCAGGGCCCGTGAAAATCGGCCGCTTCATGACACCAGTAGGAAACACCGCAGCTATCTCACGACCTGCATGCAAAACTGTTTTGCCAGTTTAGCTGCGCTGCACAAATCTGGGACTAGCGTGACCCCTATTCGTTGCTGTGTCACCTAAGCAACGTCTGAGCTGGCACACTGGTACCTCAAGCCGCAAAGATCTGATGCACAAGCTTCCGTTTCGGCGAAGCATAGGACTGGCCAGACGCAAAACTCGTCGGTTCATACTGAAAGATGCAAAGGACAACGATCAGAATTATCAGCATGCCCACAACACCAGCCAACTCTTCACAGCAAAATGCCGAGTTGACGAAGACCCCACTCACGAATGCATGCATTTGGAGAGGTAGAAATAACAGTGGTAGTGGTAGTAGTAGTAGTAGTAGTAGTAGTAGTAGTAGTAGTAGTAGTAGTAGTAGTACTAGTAGTAGTAGGAGTAGTAGCAGTAGTAGCAGTAGCAGTAGCAGTAGTACAGTAGTAGTAGTCGTCGTCTCCCCAAACTCTGCGTGCGCGCAGGGACAATTTGGAAGCAGTTCCATGCATGTACGATGACTCACCAAGACGCCTGCAAGCAACTAAGTACGTTCCCCAACCCCGTGCGTGCACTCACACACATGCTGAAAGTAGCTCCATGCATGTAAGATGACACACCGAGACGCCTGCAGGCAGCCAGGCATCTCGCCCAACCCCCAACCCACGCGCACACACCTCTGCAACATCCTCGACAAGCTGATGCTGAACATAGGACATGTCAGCGAAGCAAGTGGTCTTCAGGGACACATCACATGACACCTTTCACACATGACTATAACAAAATCTGACAAGCCTTCGAGGAGCACAAACATGCTGACACTGCGGGGCCTTCATGACCAATGGTGGCAGCTGTCCCGCCAGACCTATTTGGCCACGAGGTGTGAAAGAAACAACTTCGTGCTCTGCGTGTGTGCGCGTTCTGTGGCCTCTTCTGTAGCAGGCCCAAGGGATTCCCCAAGTTCGCTGATCCTGCGCAATCACCCTAACTAGGCGCTTGAGTCTGCCTGCTGAAGGCCGCTTGTTGCATACAGATCAATGTGCTGTCGGGTGCATTGAACGCATTGAAACCACCGCATCCCACCGTAGACCATCCCTGCCGCCACATGCTGCTGACGTCTGGGCAGCACACACAGCGAGATTTGACATGGCATTAAACTTGACTAGCTGATCTTTTTGACACTCACACTCGAAGGTGTTGCAAGCGTAGGTCCTCCAAGATGTCGAAATCAAAAGCGACAGCATATGGAATTCCGAGCCCATCGCTCCGAGAATACCTTCAGTGACAGTGCGGCGAATCTGCCTGTGTTTATGCCTATTCGGCCTATTGAGAAAGCCACAGGCAGACACGGCTACGGCTAAGCGTCGCACAAGGTCAGCTCAACAAGCTCTAGCAGCTGGAATGCCTGGTGAATAGTTAGGTGCAAGGAAGTCTTGAACTTGCATCAACTGTGGGAGTTGAGGAACCAGCATCCATCATGTTCAGATCACACCTGCGATGCAGGGTATGAGTGGGCGCCACGGTGAAAGCACACGTAGAAAGATCTCCGAAACATGCCGGCGCACTTGCACGGTGCGGAGGATGGAGCGAAAGCCAAAACACCACGGGTCTGCTTGTCCCTGTCGTCTCTTGTCTCCTCCTGCGTACATAATTGCAACGAAAATGTGGCGAAAACAGACTGCACTGCACATGACTGCACTCACTTTTCGTGGCTCCTTCCGACGGGTGCGGCAGACGTGCTCGAGCAGAGATGCAAAGATGCGGCCAATGCCTTGGATGCACGGCCCTGTGGATTGCTCTCGTCATGAACCACTCTGAGCTCGGTTCCAAATGAAGGTTCGATGACCCCAGGTGTCAAAGCGTTGACTCTGACCGTCTGCTTCTCCATCTGATTTCGAGATAGCTTGGCCAGCATGCAATTTTCTCGTCGTCGGCCCGGTGCCTTTCGAAGAAACACCGCCAGCTCTTTGGCCAATGTGGAGGATGAACTCTCCACCTGTTCACACAAGCTCGGCAGTCAATATCAGACGTCTCAATTGGCTTCTCCAGCTCCTTGTACTGCAGGTCACATGTTGCGGACTCGCGCTCAGTGATCATACCACTACGGCACAGGGTTTTTACCACCCTGAGAGCAGCACGCGAGCATGAGCGTTGAGGTCAAACGCAGACCTGTCGGCAATGCCGACACACTCCAGCCACCTCAGCCGACAGGCCAGCGACGCCAGCATCTTAGCACATTGTGACAAATGACTCGTTGGCCAAGAAGTTTGCAGCGCAACCAGCCATGAAACATGTTATCATGTGCTCATGGCAAGAAACAGGAGAAAGGGCAAATCAGTGGCAAATCTATTCGTTGCGTGGCGCTCAGGTGACTCAGACGGCGGGTACAACAACGTGTGGTCACGTTTGGTGGACCTGCTCGGGCAACCGCTGCACTGTACTGCCGCAAACGCTGGCATGTTTACTGATCAACCTCGCCGGAACAATTCAATCCAAGCTTCCCATAAGAACCGAAGATTTCCGCATCCCAGCAGTCGCAGGCATCATCAGAACCTGAAGAGCGCCAAGTAAAAAAACACCGGGCATTGTGAGCTGAGCCTTTGAGGAAGTGGCCCCAGGAAACCGAGGATGGAAAGGCCGGCTGCCTGGCCCTGCTGAAGGTTGAAGTTTTGCAGGGGCTGGCGCCCCCGCAAAACGCGGAGGTTGGCCTGGACCTGTGGGTCCTCACATTCCTGCACAGCTCATGCGGACTTCATCGCTCGATGTTGGGCTTGCATGGGCCTGAAACCTGTCCAGGACGTCATCCGGAAGCCCCATTCGGAGAAGAATCTTGTCCGGATGGGGCTCCGCCCGCAAAGCCACCACCGCCTCTTTTCGCACAACTTCCGCTCGGCATCTGCAGTGTATGTCCCGCCGTTGCCACCAAACAGGTGAGGTTTGTGGTCACCCAACACACACAGTGCGCCGTTTCACACGGCAAGCGACCTCCCTCTGCCACCACAAAAAAACCCGATGCCCACAAAGTTGCG